CTTTAACCCAATTACAGTCCAGTGTGGAATAATTGGATCATTTGTGATCCTTCACCAACTGGCTACTGCAGTTAATTTATGAAATATGGAACAGTATTCCTTTTTTCAAGGGGAATTAGAGTCTCATGCTTTAATTTATACATTGTTTAGAATGCTCCAGACTGTTTCTGCCTTAGTACCAATTTTTCCTTTTCTGCATCTGCTCATTGTTTCCTAATTCCCTTTTACTATACTGAATCTATTACTTTTGTGTTAATATGCTTTACAGTAGTTTTCACTGAGACATTTGGAGTTTTTACTTTTGTCACATCATCCCTCTAATTAATACAGCCAATTTTACCATATTGTCAATTACTTTATGGAGTATATAACTGGAATTGTGACCATCATCTAAATCTGTTCCTTATTGCACTGCTAGCAATGCAGCAGACCACTGCCACTTGCATCAAACTTCCCTGTAATTCAGACACTGTAGTGAATTCCTTCCCAACTGGCAATAAGAAAGTCTTACACAGCTCTTTCTCTGCTTGAGTTCTCTGTTTTCTGGATTGTGAAATTATCCTTTGCATAATTCAAGAACCACTTCATGATCTCTGTTTGGCAGAATTTGTTACCCAACAGATGTCTGGACAGCTAATGACCTCTGTAAGTACAGCCCTGTGATTTCTTGCTACTGATGGTCCAAGAATTTTTAATCTATTCTGCTACAAGTCAGCACTTGAGCAGCATGTCATCTCTTATTATAAAACAAAAGCATAAAGTGTGTATAAATTTTCTTTTCAGAATTTTGCCTAGTCAGAAGTGGTATTTTTCCCTGATTTTCTTCTGAGTCTTTGTTCACATATGTGTACATGCAATGCACAGATGCACATAGTTCCATATTTTTCCTTGGCCAAAATCAAAGGACATGAATTAAAACCCCTGAAATTAATCAAAATACAGTTTCAGAGAAAAAGTGCTCTCATAAATACATGTCATAACTCACATTACACATTTTTAAGTTAAGGAAATGGCAGATACTTAAAAAGATCTATGGTAGCAAAGCCTTTTTGACTGTCACTTTTACACATATGGTAAATGTAGTCTTACAAGAGGATTTGAAGGCACTGGAATGATGTGTTCACAGTATGAAATCATTCTGCAGCTGCACAACCATTCCTTCTTTCCTCTTCCCCATTCAGATCAGGTTCTAGCCCATCCCTGCATAGGAAAGTTGTCCTAGTTTCTCTTCTGGATTGTTTGTTTTTTTTTTTTTTTTTTTTTTTTTTTTTGGTTATTGGCACTTGTGAGAGGAAAATTGTCAGGCGGGATTGTATCAAAGAGGAGGTAAGAGAGTCCTTAACATCTGGCACTCATCTCCCAGAGGAGGGAGTCAAGGAATTGAATGCTGATTGATGCAGGTCCAGTCAGACATCCCTGTGGAAATATTCTGCAAGCCAGGTGCTGAAGTCCCTAGAATGAAGTGCTTGAGAGGATAGCTTGACCTCAATGTGTGCCACTGTGAGGGAGAGAAATAAGGCTGCCTGCATATAGGTGCTCCTCTAGTAGTCAAGGTCCTGGCAACTGCCAGGGACTCTCTCCACATAGCTCCTGAAGTGCCAGGAAGTTTGCTTGATGCCCCACTGCTACCTGCTTCTGCAATGGAAGAGCTGATGTGTCCAAACTGCTGGATTGGAAGGTCCCAAAACCCTGGAGAAAGGTTTATCAGCTGGATCTACACTGGTAAGGTTCAGAAGCCAATGCTCTTGTATTCTATGCAGAGCTCTTGCAATGGATGTATAGGCAGATTACTTGGCAATTTTGGCATGAAGCCTCTAGCAGCTTCTCAGATGGTACAAGGATCTGGCTTGGAGAACAGCATGAAGCAGGAGTCATTTCCTCAAAAGAGATTTTACATCATCGCTTTTGGGTAAGGAAGAAAACCTAGTTCTGCAGTGCAAGGTGGGACACACAGTTTGGCCTCAGAACCCAAAGAAAAATGTCTAGTCTGTTCTGTGAGCTAGACAGCTGGAGAAGGTACCTGAATTTTATGCTACAGTTTGGTCTTGGTCTCTCTAGCTTTGGCAAAAGGTTTCTTTTTCAGCTTGGTGAGGATTTTTTTTTTTTTTTTTTTTTTTTTTTGTTGGTTTTTTTTTTTTTTTTTTTTTTTTTTTTTTTTTTTTTTTTTTTTTTTGGGGTAGATTTTTTTTTTTTTTTTTTTTTTGCTTGGTTGGTTTTCTGTTTGTTTGTTTTGTTGGGTTTTTTTGGGTTGGTTGGTTTTTTTGGTGGGGGGAGTTTGAGGATTTTTGATTGTTTGTTTAATTTAAGTAGGTGCCTACATGCATATCTAATTCTGGTTTTCTTTAGACAGAGAAACCTGTTTCTAACACTCATTCAGTACAGTTGAAAGGATCTTTACATGTTCTTAATTACTACCCATCTTCTTCTCCAGTGTCTTCTCACTTGAACATTTAGGGAGACATGGCCAATTCTTACCGTTTCTTGTCATGGTCACTGGCAATACTATTGCCTTAGTCTCCTCCTGTTACTGGGAACTGATCTAACATGCCAGACAAGTCATTTTGATTTCAAGAGCATCGCTTGGCCTATTATGGAGTCTTTGGAGCACCTTTATCTTTTGATACTGATACCTGGTTTAGAGCCTCTGTGTGAAAATTGTCCAGTGCTCATATTAAGCATACAATACAGAGGCTATTCTGGGACTAGTTAGTCTGAATTTTGGGGACTAATAAAAACTACTGAGAGTGTAACTTATTTCTCTCCTCTCTCCCAGCTGGAGACACAGGCTTTCTTTGTTTTCCCATTTGGAATTTCCTTGTGCACTTTCAGAGCTATGAGCTGTACACTTGTCAGTTCCTTAGTCTTCACAGAAGTATTTCTACTATCTTGTCAGATGATGTTTTTTATACAAGGAGGTCACTGAGTTACAGATGAGGACACAATTGAATAATTGGTTTTGCCCTCCAAACACATGTGGCCTCTTGTCTCTAGAGCATTTCCTCTTTTACAATAAAGTGTATTTCTCCCACTTTCATGAATTTTAACATTTGGTGGATGTCCTACAGTGGGCCAGTGCTTTTACACCCACTCCTGTCCCAGAAGAAGTCTCCCTAAAGCAGCTAAACTTGACCCAGATATGGTTCTCTCTTCAAAATCAAAGGGCACTCTGTAGATTGTAACAGTAAACATATGGGCCTACTACAATGCAAGATATTCAAAGCAATCAGACATTCTGGCTGCAATCTATCTAGAGTAAAAATTATCAGGAGTGGCCAGGAAGTAATCAGAATCAAATGCTCTACAACACCATCCATGATAATGCCCATCTAAATGTGGCATTACTGGGATGTCTACATGTGCTCACAGGCTGAGGAACCTCTCACCATAATGATGGCCAGAAATGGTGACTTGCCTGCTAAAGAGAAGGTAGCACATAATGTTGGCACAGAATAAGACATGCAAAGGTTTGATTAGACAATCTGGGATTATTTTTTAACTCCAAATGGCCCTGCAGCAGTGAGTCATAAATCCCTGTATACACTGAAACTTCTGCAATTTTGCTCTCAAGCCGCTTCTTGGGACTTCTTTGCAGAAATAATTTTCTACAGGAGGGATGAGTTCAGCTGCTCTGCTTTAGGAGCCACAAGCTTTTAAAGCAGTCTTTTGTCACAGGTTGGAGTTGAGAAAACTGGCAGCTTAGTGAAGATTCCACCTATTTTTTAAGGACTCAGATGCTTGTTTGTACAATATGGAGCTTTTCACATAATTGCAGTAAGGGATAAAAATGGCTTGACTGCAAGAAAACTGCCCAGCTCCAAAAACCTTCTATTAAAATGATGCCAGAGCTTTGTTAGCAGCAGCATTGCTATCTTTTAGCCATAAGTTGTATCAGACTTCTTGTATTTTTTAATTATTCCTTCATTCCTTCTAAAAAGGTATTTTCAAAATTAACAAGCAATAAATATTTTTATATTTTTAATTGTAGTTTATATTTTAATAGTAGTTTTCTTGATTTTCTCAGTTTTCTCTTTGTACACTCAGATTATAGAATCACAGAATGGTTTTGGTTTGAAGGAACCTTAAAGATCACTGAGTTCCAACCCACCTGCCATGGGCAGGGACACCCTTCCACTACACCAGGTTGCTCAGAGCCCTATCCATCCTGATCTTGAACACTTCCAGGGATGGAGCAACATGTTTTTGCCTGAACAACATGTTAGTGCCTCACCACCTTCCTTGCAAAAAGTTTCTTCTTATGCCTAATCTAAACCTACTTTAAAACCCTTGCCACTTGTCAGGCCACCACAAGCCTTGGTAAAAAGTCTCTCTGTCTTTCTTACAGGCTCCCTTTATATATTGAAAGACTGCAATGTTTCCCTGGCACCTTCTCTTCTCCAGGCTGAACAGCTCCCAACTGTCTCTGCCTTTCCTCATAGAAGAGGTGTTCAAGCCCTCTGACCATTTTTGTGGTTCTCCTCTGGACCAGCTTTAAGAGGTCCATGTCCTTCCTGTGCTGGGGATGGCAAAGCTGGATGCAGCACTCCAGGTGGGGTCTCACAAGGGCAGAGCAGAATCGCCTCCCTGCACCTGCTGGCCACACTACTCTTGTTGCAGCTCAGGGTGTGACTGGTTTTCTGGGCTGTGAGTGCACATGGCTGGGTCATATCCAATTTTCCACTCACCAGTATTCCCGAGATCGTGGCAAGACTGCTCTCCATCCGTTCATCCCCTGGCTTGTATTGGTAATACACTGATCTGGCTGCAGGACCTTGCACTTGGCTTTCTTGAACTTTGTGAAGTTTCAGATGGTTGAAAGCATTTTGTCAATATAACAACATCTACTGTAGACCCATGTGTAATAAAAGTGAGAAAATTTAAAAAAAAAACCCAAAAGCCAAATGTACTATAGTTATTGTAAGAAGTTGTTCCTTGATATTCCCTGGATATGTTCTTAATTGCACACTTTGGATGGAAGAAAAGGAAATATTTCAAAGCTTTCATATAGTTCATGCATTCTGTAAGACAAATTTATTTACCTTTCATGCAGGTTACATAGGTGATTTTAATACATTTTCCAGATACAAAACTGTGTTTGGTGATGATACTTTATGATTCTTCAATATCACAGAGGGAAGATTTAGGAAAAAAAAAATGTTTGAAGATGTTTACATCTTTAGTCCTTAGGCCTAGAAAAAAAAATGAGAATAATGAGCTTAGAAGAATTTGTGGTCAGAATGTTCTACCAAAAAGACAGTGAATTAAATTACAGAGGTTTTTTTACAGAAAGTTTGGAGCCCAAAATGTGAGTAACACTATAGCAGGATCAATGAGGACAAAGGAAACAGCAATAAGACTGCATACAATGCCAGAACTGCTTATGGGGCAAAATGTATGAGCCAGGAGTTCTCAACTGCAGCCCACACACTGACACAGCATCATTTTTTTGTTCTCACATGTTCACAATCAGTTACAAAGCCAACAGCACTTGCATGGCAGCTAAAAATGAGTATATATTTTCTCGAGAAGGTGCTACACAGTGGAACTGCCATGTTTATTTTTTAATGCTAATCTTTCTCTCCATAACATTGACTCAGAGCAGATTCAAGCTCTGTTACTCATAGACTCTCATTTTCTCAATGGTCACATAAATCAAAATTAATTAAATATAGAAGAAAACTGTCACAATGAGCATGTAGGGCTTGTTAATAGAAATGTGATAGGTGGTACACTATTAATTGTGTGACTGATAAATACCTGGAGCAAAATAAAGAGCAGCGATTAAATTTGAAGGTGCATTTTTGTAACAAGTTTCATATTTTTAGGCAAGATGGACATTTTCCATAGAACATTTTGGTACTTTGTGAAGTTTACCTTCCTATATAAAGAGCCCATCTATATTTGTTTCCCACAGTCTTCCAAGAATGATGTAGCATCTGAAATTAAAAATACCTTTCAGTAACTATCTTATGAAGGCTGTCACTGATGACAAAATAGTAGAAGATGACAATTTTAAGCATGCATTTTTGCAGTGGCATAAAAGTGCAGGTATAGAATAAATTGTAAATTGCATATATTGTAAAGCTGGAAAACACTTAGTTTACAAATGAGCAGAGAAGAAAAGCATGAGAGAGAATAAAACACTGTATTCAATGACTATTGAGAGTCAAGTCTACTTGTTGCCAAATGGTTTTTACCTATTTTATATGGTTTATCTGTTGTGTATCTGTCCTTTGATTTTGCATGGGTGATTAAAGAAGAGGCCTCAGAAGCCAAAATCTGGCTTGCTGTCAACAGAGCAATTTTAAATTTCAGCACTGAATCAGTCAAAGGGCAGTTTTGCTCCCACACTAGTTCCCTTCTTGCAGGTTGGCTCAAAAAGCTCAAAATGGCTCAGAAGGGAGTGAATAGTTTGGGCCTAACAAGTAATCACCGTAAACCAGTTTTTCTTTATTAGAGGCCTCTTTTCATGACTTTTACTATTACTTTTATTATTGTTGAACACTTTGTAAAAGGGCTATTTTTCATACCACCCACAAAAAGACCAATCTGTTTATTAAATTGTCCTATGCCTACTCAGTGGCCCAAGTGCTTCACAGTTTTAGGTGAAATATATGAGAGATGTTACTTACTTTGCCAGATCATCTAATGGTCATAATTATGCAGAAAAATACAATTACACCAAAACAGAACATGTTGCTGTGCTTTTCAGTCAAAGGATTTCACCTCAGCTTGTAACCAGAGTAACAACTTTGCAGAGCAGGAGAATATCTAAATACAGGGCTGACAGCAGAGCAGGGAACCTTCAGCTCCTTCCTCTCTGGACCACTCTTTCCATCTGCAGGTCAGGGTTCTCTCTGCTTGTCTAAACTGTCACACAATATGTGATTACCTACTTTTTAAGACAACTTTAGTATGTAAGACTTAGAAGAATCTCACACTTTTATGTCAAAATAAATAGACATAAAAAAAAAATCCCAAACCCAAGCAACCAAACAGAAGATGGAGCCAGAGAGAAACTTTTAAAGCAAATTGCCAGAGAAGATGGGGAATTCGGTTTGCTCCAACTCCTGAACTCCAAACAAGACTGCAGGTAAGGAATTGGAGAAAGTGCTTGGAGACTCTGCTGCAGTACGAGGGCATGGAAAGAGGCTCCACTGTGTGTGAACGCATCAGTCGGAACCAGCACAGCTGCTTCCCCGGGGTGTTCTGTCCCCACCCTGTGTGTGAATAACATGAGCCACATAAAACTGCTGCTTGGAGGCAGAGAGCCTAAGTTTGCTCTACTCCAATCAAAAGAATGAAAGAAAGTCAGCCTGACTCAAGAATAGAAAGGCCAAAACTAACAGAGGGATGGATGTGTCATTTACCGTGATGTCACACCAGAATGCAGAGTAAGAGAAATGACGCTAAGAACCAAAGACGAGGTAATATGAATTCGATATAAAGTGAGCTGCATTTTTCAGCTTGATTTTCATTCTGTCTTACTGGTGGATGCACTCTTACAAGAAAGTTCACGTAATCCAAGCATACCTACTAGAGAAGAAATAGAATCTTTAAATTATGTCATCATGTAATTTTTGCATTTTCTTTCAAAGAGCAAATACCAGAGGAATATCTTATAATTCTTAATGCCACAACATTTTTTTAATGCAGAAAAATAATTGAATAAGCTTGCTTTTCTCTACCTTCAGATTCAGATACTAAGTTGTCCTGCTTTCAGTACTAGCAGAATTTTTAATCCATGCAATCTGACCTGAAAGCTATGACAGAAAATGAGAAAAATATATTCTAGGAAGTGTTTATGAGATTTATTTGCTTGATTTTTTTCTTTTCAGTTATATGGGGGAACACTTTTCTAAACTACCTTAGTTTTGCTTCTGTAAGTTCTTATTAAACTTGATATCTACAGCAATTCTAACTTTGTCTGAACTGTCATACAAGACATGTTACCAACTTTCTGTCATTATAGGAAAATTGTTTATTGTTTTGTTTAACAGTGGTAGACGGAGGAGAACACTCAGGTCTTCTTGGTAATTTCCATGCCTTTTCCAGCATCACAGTACTCTTTAAGCCTGTTGGAGAGAGTGCAAGAGGAAGCTCCAGGTTCCTACCTTGAAATCTTTCTATTTCTTCTGTCTCCCGTACTCCTCTCCCCAGGTTTCCATACATTACTTTTTCTTCCATCAGTCATACCAAAATTGCTTTTGTGTGCCATAATTCCTCAACCCTATTTCTGCATCTCATCAGGGAGAGTCGAGCACTGACCTCAAGTTTGCACACCTGGTAAAATGATGTACTAGACCTCAGGACACCTTTCTATTATTCAAGTACTTTCCTGGTCTTGCAGAGGAAATCACCATTACAGATAAGCTTTAAAAAAATGCCCTCGAGAATTTTATCATGACTAGCCACTGGAATTCTGGAATCTCTCTTGCATTGTGTAGTTTGGTTTTTGTTTTTTTTTTTTTCCTCTCCTTCCTTTCTCCCCAAAGGAATCTTATTTCCAAAGACCAGCTATTTATATAAAGCATATATTTGATTTTGTCATATTAACATTTCACTTCAGTCCAAAATGTATGCTTGCCTTTCAGTGTTTTCCTCTAAAGAGTGTCTTAAACCTTGAAGGAGTAGTTGGACCTGGAACTGTTTAAGGGTATAAGAGAGACAAGATAATAGGGAAGAGTTATGTTTCAGTAGGCAACAGAAACAACTCCTTTCAGTCCCACGACCCACACCTTTGCTTATCAAGACACTAATTTTCTCAACTACTTTCTTCCTTGAAAACCTTTTTGGAAAATGGATTCTGGGTCTCCCAAGAGCCTGCAGACTGCTGTCTCCAGCATATGCTCAGCCCCTGTTTATCTGGCAGCGATCCAAAATGCCAAATCTTGAGAGCAAACTACTGCAAGGTCAGTAGACCTTACCAGATTTCAGTTCAAAAGACATTTTTAGATATAGTCTGAAAACTAACAAGTATATCAATCTTCAGAGAGTACCTCATACCTCATCAATCAAGTAGTGAGACAAGCATTTCTACCTGTAGGTCTAGCCTAGGACTGCAGGATCATCCACAGCAGAAAGAAGGGTCTTTGACTCTTCAGTAGTAGCTCCCTTCCAAGAACGATGAGGAAGAAATATTATTTAGTCCAATCACACATCCTCAGGGAAATAGTTTGAGACTGCAGATTCTGTAGAATCTGCAAATTCTACAGATATCCTGTAATCCAGCTGTTGCTGACCAGACCTTTCCTTTTACAGTACACTTGTGGACCTGTCACGTTTAGTTGAGAAAGCTTAAATTCTTGCTATGGTCCTGAAGACACTGATTGTTTGTTTAGGAGAGAGCAGAGAAGAGATTACTAAACATGGTAAAATTTCATTTCTGTCACAAGGAATTGACTTTTATCTTTCCTCTGTTGCCTCTGTCTACTACATAGACAACAGAAGTGTGAGTGGGCAATCAAGATTTGTCCTATTGCAGGCGCTGCTGTATTCTACTCCTGGAAAATAAAAATTAATCTCCCAATCTTGGATTTTTTCATACATGACTTTTTTTTTTTTTTTTTCCCTCCCCAGGAAAACCACAGTTCATTGAGCTTAGTGTGGGTAAATTTAAAGTTGCAGCTGAAATAGCACTTTCCAATCTGCTGAGAACTTCTGCAATGTAGGACAGCAGCTCAGACATTGAGCATGATTTTCCAGAATGTTTCGAGACAGATTATGAAAGTTTGGCATATACCTCAGGAGGAAGCTGCCTTTTCACTGGTTTCAGCACAGAGCTTTGGGCAAGTGATCTTTCTCGGAGCTCAATGAATCTGTCAGGAAAAGCGAGTGAAAAGAAGGCGCTTGATGAAAACGAGCTGCTGGAAGTCTGCGGAGTTTCCCTTAGGAATAACCTTTCTGAAAGAGAATTTCTGCTGGCGCCTCTGCAGCCCTGCCTGCCAGCGTCCCTGTCTAATGCAGCACCAGAAATCCCATTTCCTTCAGTCCCAGGAAAAACTAAGATAGGAAAATGTAAACAGAGGGATGCAGATACTTTCGCTCAACATTCCGTTTAATCTTTACTCGCGCTGGGTTGTTTTCGCCCGGCGCTCACAGCAGTGTGGGGCTGACCGCACGGAGCCGCAGGGTGCCGGCAGTCCATAACCGGGCACGGCTCAGCGAGGGACGCGCTCCCCGGGCTGTCCCCGGGGCGAGCCCGCGGCCGGGCAGGGCAGCCCTGGCAGGAGAGGGGCGCTCCCAGCTCCGCCGGAGCGCGGCTTTCCCTTCGCCAAGGCGCGGCTCGGCAGCCCCGCTCCGCGAGATGGCGGCGGGCGCCCGCCATTTCCCGCCCCTCGGGGCACCGCGCCCCGCCCGGCCCGGCCCGGCCCTGCCCGCTCGGGGGCGGTGCCGCCGCCGCCGCGCTCTCCCTGCTGTCCCTGCTGTCCCTGCTTCCCAGGGAGCGCCCGGCTCCGGCAAGTCCCTCCTCCGCCTCGGCGCTGCGGGCCGCCTCCCTCCCTCCTCCCCCGGTCGTAGCCTCCTCCGGCGGCAGCGGCGGTGCCCGCCGGCCCCATGGCGGCGGAGCCCCAGCCCAAGGCGCTGACTCGCAAGCCCCTCCTGCTCAACAAGGTGGAGGGCTCGCAGGAGGTGGTGAACATGGCAGCGATAGTGCCCAAGGAGGACGGGGTCATCAGCGTCTCCGAAGACAGGTACCGGGGAGCGGGTGTCCAGCGGGGCCGCGGCGGTGGTCTGTCGCCTCCCACCACTGCTGCCGGTGATGGTGGCACTGCTGGGCCCGCGATGCGGGTCCTGGATGGTGGTTCCCCATCACCAGCACCAGCGGGAGGCGGTGGACCCGCCGGCGAGGGATGGTGGAGGCAGACCACCAGCATCCCGGTGCGATGTAGACTCCACCACCCGGAGCCCGGGCCAGCGCCAGGGTGGCGGTCTGACATGGGGACACTGCTTTAGGCAGACACATCGCGTCCCCCTGGAGCAGGGGTCTCCAGCGGAGTGTCCCACTCCTCCTCCACCACTGTGTGGGTCAGGACAGTGACCGGGCTGGAGCGCCGCTGAAACTCGCAGGACTTGAGTGACTTTTCTTAGCGTGGGTAAAATGGGATTTGAGATCCCCTTCATCACGAGGATTGCAGGGGAGTCTGTGGAGATCTTTCACCTTGCCTAAAGATTGTGGTGGCACTGGCTGAAACAGTAGTTTTGGTTCCCGTTTCCCCTCTCCAAACGTTTCCTGGTAATTGTTTAAAAATACCGTGTATCAGTGATAAGATCTTGGAGTTAAATCCCACGTTGAAAAGCTGCCAAGGAGGAAAATGCTTTCAGGCCCCTTAGCAGGGCTTTGCAGGGACTGGGGCTGCCCAGGGGCAACTCTGTCTCTTCTGAAAGAGCTCAAACTTGATTCAGCCCTGCAGCTGGAGCTTCAAAATTTTATCTTGAAAACCTTTTATTTCAAAATAAGTGCTTATTTTTCTTGCAGTGCCCATAAATAGTTATTTTGGGCAGGGTTTCTTTGCAGCTCAGGTGTACAGTGTAACCTGTGTCCTAAGATAGAGAGACACATGTTGTTGACCAGCATGTCAATATGTTTTGATACTTAAGGGCGTTTGGATGGACTGTTTCTCATGGATGCCTGTTCTGTTAAGTGTCTGCTTTTGTGTCTCTGCAGACTTTCTGAAAAACTGACGGTATTTTCTTTCATCTTTGTCCTCACTGTGACTTAGTTTTCAGCTGTCAAATATGTATAAATTTAAGATCATTTTAGTTCAGCTAAGCTGAGGTCTCCAAGTGAACTCTCATGCCTGCCTGCAAGAGGAGCTGAGCTACTTAAAACAAGTGTACGGTCAAAGGAACTTTAAGTAGAGTTTTACATTGTTATATGCTCACAATTTTATTGTCTTCGTATTTTTTATATATTTAAAGTTTTGTTGACTAAAGCTTGAACTTATTTGGGCTCATTATAGCTTGTTAAGTTTACTTAGCAAATTCTTTTTACCTGTAAGAAGGTATTAGTGAAATTTATTTCCTCTCATATAGATGTCTGTCTCAATCTCTGCATCTTCCCTCACCTTAGCAAAAATACATAACTTTAGTTGTTGATGACAGGTTGATGCTCCAGGTTGATATTTCTGTGTAGGGAAGGGGATTGCTGAGGCATCTTTATTTTCACTAGTAACTTTCAAGAAACAAGCAGTGAAGAAGAAGCCAGGAGTTTCACACTAGGAAAGTCTGGAGGTTCCCAGGCTATTTTCTGTTTAAGGAAATTGACCAGGTAATGTGGCTGCTGGTGGGACTTGTTTGCAGGATCCTTGACATGCTACAAGTTATGATCCTGCCTTTTATTTCTTTAGGCATGAAGATGTTGGTTGATGGGTCTTTCATTTTCTTCTTGAATTAGCATTTTTATTGTAATTAAAAGGTTAAGAGTTTAAAACTGCCTTGGAAGGAATAGCAGGTTGGGAGTCTAGCATGCAGGTTTTAGGCTACCTGGGGTGAAAGCATAATTTGTCAGACTTTCAATACCCGTGTAGTATGATTAGGCTTGTGCAGATCCTTATGGGCACCTTTTCCTGTTTGGACCTGCCTTCTCCTGTCAGCGTTGACATGGTTGTTTAATGTCCATGGAATGTGGAGGGCTTTTAGAACTTCCCAGAAACTGTTAAGAATAGTTATGGAGATGTTATCTGTCCCATTACTTGTGAACCAAATAAGTGAGTTTTGTCCACATTTCCCTATGATATGCACTGCTCATATGAGGAAAATATTCTGAAACCTCTGCAAAGAACTTCAGCTGGAATTGCCATCTCCAGCAATTGCTTCAGGCTGGGATATCATCTGTACGTGAAAGAGGAATTGTTTTGCTGGTGAATGGCTGAACACATCATTATTGAAGCCGTTGGTAGTCTTTGCATGCGCAACAGCTAGGTGCCACTTTAAAGGTTTTCTTTGCTGCATGATGTGGCCCTATACACCTAAACCTTTAAAAGCAGGAGCTAGCTTGGTCTCTGGTCCCAATTTTGTATGGCACTAGTGGTGTTATCTGGTTTTAAAAGACACAAAAGTGGTTTTAGCTACAGCTTGCAGTAGTCATGGATTATATAGCCCTGCATGTTTGTAGCACATACAGGCATATATTTTAAGACATAAAATTAAAACTATGTAATAATAGGGAGTGTGGATATTCCTCATAAAGAAAGACAAAGCCAGGGGAAAGAAGGAATGGGCGGGGGGGGGGGGAAGGGGGGAGGCAAAGTGGGTTTACATATTTAACTAGATTCTCAAAACTTTGTATACCCAACAGGGTTGGAGTTCCTTTTTAGTATGTGTCATTTGTACAGGTGATGCTCATAGATTTTCTCTTCTGAATCCTGGTCACTTGTGATAATTGAGTGATGTTCATTGTGTCCTAATCTTAGTGGGTTTTCTAATTCTATATCTGGGCAAAATAGACTGAGCCTGTATCTACAGTACAGCTGGTATGCATTGGAAGGGTAAGATATTTTATGGTTTTCTTCTAAGAAAAAGGATGCACCTGTCTAGACAGGTGGGAGTTAAAATAGTGGCAAAATTTGATATCCAGGAACATATAAATCTAATGCAGGATGACTCTAAGAAGTTACTAGCTTTCCTCCATCTCTTTCCCTGCCAGCAAACACATGGAATCAACAGACATATATAGCCAAACATGTCTTGAGTGATCCATAGCACTGTATGCTCATGTGAAGTTAGACTGGGATTTTCCTAATGTGCACAGCTGATCCTAAGCTGTCATCAGCTTCCTCAATATTAAAAGCATGCACTACCGTTTCAAAATTGCAAAGTATTCTTGTCTTTTGTTGCCTTCAGAGGGAGATGTGGGTGTTGGGCATGTCTGAAAAGTAGGTCACTGGCATGTCAAGTTCAGACATATCTAACTCCATGCTCCAGAGAAGATTTAGTGTCATTAATCTTACCTGGGCATGAGATACAGTGGGACAAGTGCACTAACTGACCCAGCTTTCAGTGCAAGCAGTTCTGCTCGGTGCTGGCACACTCGTGTGTTTCTCAGGAGCCTGCCAGTGCTGTGAGTGCCAATTCAGCTGGGCTTCGATGTGCTGATCCTGTGTCACCCATGTGCTGATCGTATGTCACTCTGCAAGACTGGCAGGAGGGTCTGGGTGTCATTGTGGTGAACCTGCACTTTGCTAATAGCCCTCTTTTTACCCCTAACTGGATTGTGAGTGAGGAAAACTTCCACAGAAGCTGGTGTAAACGTCTTTCCTGGTAAATACGAACTCTGCTCTGTGCCCTCCTGTGGATCAGAGTTCTGTACTCACTTCCATGCCACAGACCTTCTAAACATAGGTGTTACAGTCAAGAACTGTTCTTGAACTATTCACAAGTGAAAGTTTTCACGGTCAGCTGAAAATTGTCATAATCCTTTTATTTAAAAAATATAAGCATTCTAATCTCTTGGTGACAAGATCTAGGAGAAAAATATTTATCCCTTTATCCCACAGCTTTTTTTATTTAATTTAACTTTTTTGTATTAAGGGTGTAGAGACCTTTGTCTTCTCCATTACCTTGTATTATCTTAAGCTCTTTTTGAACTCAGTTATCTCAGCTTCTTCATATGGATCACTGTATAAACAGTGAGCCCAGACTGTTTATCTTATGTGTCTTCATCTCACATAGAGAAAACTATGTAGAGCTTGTATTGATAGGTTTAGTTTACAGTTTGAGCGTTTTAAATACAGATGTGCACTTCAGTTGTCCAAGGCTTGTGTTCTGGGTGTGCTAACTAGCAGGTTTTTTAGGGGGCACGACAACTTAATGTCCATCTTGTGTAAATTAAAATCTTTTTGCTAAACTAACAGTGGACTAAGAATGGGAATATGCATATGTGACAAGAAATGTGGGAGTTGTCTTTGGTTTTGTGGTGACATGACTTCTAACATGGAGAACTGTGATCTTTCCGCCCTCAAGTATATCAAAAGTAATCTTTTTCTTCTTGTGGTTTTTGTGTCCAGATCTAGAACATTGAGCATACAGTATCATAGTTCATGCCTGTGAAAAAGCTCTAATGGAAGGGTGGGATTCTTCACACAGTGCTGTATTCAAGCAGGGTGCAAGGAACCACAGATTCTTGGTAAACTGAGTTTTATTTCTCCTGTGGTGGAGTAGTAGAAAGTGATTGCTTTGCCCAGCAGTATGGCTGCTCTTCAGGTCTGTATTCTTATCTGAGCACAGGGTTACATCACTGATGTCAGCTCTGCCTTGTATGTGGCTGTTGGTTCACGGCAGAAGCGCAGGTGCTGTGAGAACTGATTTTGATGCTGTCTGTGTATGTTTATCAGTCTAAGCCTGTAAGTTTCACACCCAGGTGATTGCAGTATGAGCAGCAGCTCAAGCAGGGCAGAAGGTGTGAATGCTCTTCACAAGTGTAAAAGGACTTGTTCCTGCCTGGAGGCTTTTTAAATTTTGATAAAAACATCAGTCACCAATAAAATTGATAGGAATTGAAAAGACCTAATGCTGTAGATGCAATTTGGTTGCTCTTTTTGTGTGTGTATGTGTTTTTTTAAACTGAATTTTTTAGATATGTTGTAATTTGATGAGTGCGTGTTTGGAATAAAGGTCAGGGTGGAGGTTAGTGCTGGCTGTTTGTGAAGAAGAAGCGGATGCTGGCAAGAGGCTTAAGAGAGAAGACAGGAGG